CACGATTTTCAAATATACTTGTAATTCCTTTATTGCCATTTTTGTTTTTGCCACTCCTTTTTGTATCATCTGGAAATTTAAGATGGATCATGATGACTGAATGCCCCCCTGTTCAGGTCAGGAGCCTGTCAATCTTCTCGGGGAGGTTCACAGCCTGGCAGCAGGCACCAGGCAGGCAACACTCCATTCTAGACTCACTATTGCTTATGCACACTACTCTGTGTGGAATTTATAAACCAGCATTAATCCCTGCTTCATTCTGTATAAACAGGGCCAAATAAGAAAAGAACTGTCAAATAAGAAAAAAACATCTTTTGGAATATTCTACCAAGGACAGACAGTCTTTGTTAACAACTATAGAAATACAGACAAGCCAAGCCTGGCTCAAAAACATTCCTGTACTAAAAAAATAAACTCACCATTTGCATTGTGCTATATTCCTAAACCATTCGGATGCTGAAAAATGCCACTAAAACGGACTTTTCTGAAGAAGCTAGAGAAAGGGAAAGGAAATACACAGGAAAAATAATAATATAGAAAAATATATGAAATGCACCACTTCAGCCTGCAGGGATCTCTGCTTTCACCAAGCGCTGCACCTACCCTCAGGCATGAAGCTTCATTAACATCCTTATGCCTGAGGATAGGAGCACTGCTCCTTCAAACTTGTTGTTACACCCATTTGCAACTATGGGGATCCCAATAGCCCACAGTGGACCCTCTGCTAATCAACCTTTTGACCTTTTCCACTGTGATGTACTACAAATGCTCCTGACCAAAGCAGATGTGTACACAATGCTAACATTCCATGTCACGTCTTGATCCAGCAGGGTGTCATTCAACAAGGATTCAATTTCAGCACTGAAAAAGTTTACATAAAAAATCAGCAAATACGGTGTAAAAGCAAAAATTTTTTTAAAAACTCTAGTCCCCATTCAGACTCTGCAAAAAAAAATCTGCATATTAACATTTTTAAAGAACCCATATATAAGACAATCTAGTCATTATTTGGATATAATAACTTTATATCTTAAACAGACCTAGGCAGCAGTGACCAATAGCACAGCATAGTGGGTAAGCTTTTGGAATCATCTGATTGGTGATGGGTTCAAGTCAATGCTGCAAACACCGCTGTTAGTAAAGTACTTCACCCCAGTTGCTCCAGTCCACCCAGCTGCAGAATATAATTGGGGACCAGTGGATAATCCCCAAGATGGATTGGTGTCCCATCTAGGAGGGGAGTCTTTAGTCTTAGTCAATAATAAACAGGATGATCTCTGGTCCAGTAATCTGCTGTGGCTCTAGTATGGACTTTACCTTCTTATTAACTACAGTATATCTTAAGCCTGCAATGCTGTCCCACTTTCTGAGCTTAAAAGCAAGCGATGTAAGAATTAGTTTCAGAATATCATGGAGTACATTACGTCTTTAAATACACTATTCTGGTTGTCTCTTATCATGATTACTAATTTTACTTAAGCAGCATATTTCCAAAAATGTATCTTTAATGGTTACACATCCAAATGGCCTGTTTTCATGCTGTGGAATTACTTGAAATTTATGATAGAGTTAATAATAAACAAAGAAAACAGTTGTAGGTAGTAGGGTATTGTTTTGGATCATATTTCCATTGTTTATTTTCTTCAAATGTGCAGTAAAAGCAATGTGCCTATTAAAGTTTATTTCTTTATCTTTGCTTAAAGTAAGCTAACAGAATGAAGGAATTAATCTAATCTGTCTAATCTGACCACTTGGCTCAACAAACCTGTCGGAAAGCTTTTGTGTTTCAATGCCTGTTGGCAGTTAGGGTAGGGCTTCTGCAATATAAACACCAACCTATGCTGCTATGGATAATCAAGCTGAGGTAGAGGGAAATTGTGCTGGGAGACTGTCATTCAAAATCTTGTTTCTTTTTTCACAATGTACCAGCTATTCTTGGAAAGGTAGGCTGTTTTTTTTACACTATCTGCACCACTCCTATTTCCATAGGGCCTGTTTTGCCAGCACCTGACTTGTGAGAGATTTATTATTTTGGCTAAGGTCACACAACCCTTTCAAGATCTTTGTTTTTAATGTTATTCCACACCTGAAGCACCCAATTCCATTACTTGGGATCCCCACACCCCCTGGTTTTTGTTCAAGCTGAACTCATAATTAATAACAATAATTGCTTACACTTATATAGCGCTTTCCTGGACACTCCACTCAAAGTAATGGGGACTCCCCTCCACCACCACCAATGTGCAGCATCCACCTGGATGATGCGACGGCAGCCATAGTGCGCCAGAACACTCACCACACATCAGCTATTAGTGGGAAGGAGAACAAAGTAATGAAGCCATGATTGG